TTAATTAGATATATATAAAATATAAATAATAATAAAAAGTAATTAATATGAATTTAAAAATAATAAATGAAAAAGAAAAGAATGAATAAAAAAAAGAATTAAAAACAAGATGTGTCTAAATTAATAATATAAACTATATTTTATATTTAATCTATTTGGCGAATGTAGATTTGTATTAATTTCTAATATGTTATGCAAAAAATAATAAATATAACATGAAAAATGATGAATATAATACAAGAAATTATAAGAGTATATGAAAATTATTATAATTAAATTAATAATATTAGAGTATTTAATAGATTTTATATATAAAAAATATTTAGTTTTATAATTTTTGAATTTTTTATATATTTTTCAATTATATTATTATAAATAGTACAAAGATTTAAATTCAATTAATTAAATTTTTTTTATTTTAAAATCTTTTTTTATAAATATTAAAACTTAAAAAAATAATATAATACACAAAAAATTTTTTAAATTTTAAATATTTTACTTTTTATTTTTAATTATATACTTTAAAAACTTATATACAAATAATTTAAATTATATTGAATTTATTATAATATTGTTATTATACTTTTAAAATTTTTAAAATAAGTATTTTTATTATTAATTATTTATTTAAATTTTGATATTTATTTATTATTATACTTTATATAATATTTTTATTTATAAAATGAATAAAGTTTTATATTACTAATTATATTATTATAATTATAAAATATTTAATACTAATATAAAAAATCAAAATAAAGTTAATATAATATAAAAATTCTTAAATTAATAATATATTTCATGCTAAAAAATCTATTAACTTTTAATTAAAAAATAAATACAAAATTTAACTGATAATATAATAAAAAGTTGATAAAATTTTTAGTATGAAATATATTATTAATTTAAAAATTTTTATATTATATAATTAAATAAAAATTAATATAATATATTGATTTATTACTATTTTATTTTATAATATTTCTTTTTTAAAATATACTTTTTCATAAATTTTTTATATTTTTATCTTTTTTTGAACTATAATAATTTTAAAATTAATATAGCAATTTAGATATACTTTCTCTTTTAATTTTCTTTTTTAATTTTTATTTAAATTTATAAATTCATAATAATATTTTAATGTATTTTTATAAAAATTATTTAATTAGTAATTTAATTTAATTATTATTATAAAAAAATTTATTTTAAATAATTATTTTATTTACTAATTTATTAATAATTTAATATTTATTACTTTCAAAATTTATTAATAAAATATAATAAATTAAGAGTTTTTTTTATATAAATATTTTAAATTTTATTATTAAAATAAAAATAATATTATATATTTTAATATATCTTTTTTTCAGATTTTTTAGATTTAATTTGATAAAGCTGTTCTAATTGCATATAAATTAATTATTTTTTTATTTGTTTTAATTATAAAAAATAATTAATTTTATATGTAATTAAAATAGTTTTATCAGATTAAATCTAAAAAATCTGAAAAAAATATATATTAAAATATGTGATATTATCTTCATTTTAATATAAAATAACAAATATTTATTAGTAAATTATAAACTTTTATATAAAAAGATAAATCTATATTTTATTATATTTAATTGATAAATTTTGATATTGTTGCATTATTTCTAATTAATATTATATATTTTTTTAGATTTGTTATATTTAATCTAAGAAAATTTTTCTAATTATAAAATAAGTTGATTAATTTTATATAAAAAACTCATATTTCATTATATTCTATTAATAAATTTTGAAAATAATTTAAGTTCTTTAATTGAATTTTTTTAATATTAAGTACTTTAATTATTAAGTTTTTAAAAAAGTTAATAAATAAATATATTATTAACAATATTTTTTAATTATTTTAATTAAATATTATTTATAAAAAGTAAATCTTTTATTATTATTTTTAGTTATATTGGTTTGATTATAATTTTTATTTTAATTGTAAAATTATATTTATTATTATTTATTAAATTATAATTTTTTATTTTTATATGATTTTTTATTTTAATTGTAAAATTATATGATTTTTAATTTAATAAAAAGTATTATTAATATTTTACTTGTTTATAAATAATTTTTAAAAGTTATTAATTATAATTTCTTATTTTTGAACTTATTTTAATTGCTTAACAAAACAAATATATATAATTAATCTTTAAATATTTTAATTAAAATAATAAAAATAATAAATTAAAGCTAAAAACTAAATTATCAAAATGGTTTCAAAATTATTTTAGACTTATTTTATTAATAATCAAAATTATTTTAAAATTTTTGAATTTTTTAAAGCAAAATAAATATTTTTAGATAATTTTATATATTTATTATATAAAATATTTTAAAATCAAAATACTTGCTGAAATTTATTTTTTTTAAAAAATATTTAATATTTTACAAAAAATCCTTTTTATAAAAATAGTTAATATAATACTTTACAAAAAATATTTTTATAATTTATATTAATGATAATATTTATTATATTATCATTATAGATTATATATTATCATTATTGTTATATCATATTATCAGTTACTATATTAAAATATCATATGTTATAAATTATATCCTTAAATATTTTGATATTACAAATTGTTACAATTAGATTCATTTATAAAAAATAAATTATAAAAAAATAAATTTAAATAATGATCTAATAATCAATCTAAATAATTTGATTAAGCTCAAAAAAAAAGAAATTATTATTTGAATTTCCAAAAACTATAATTTATGCTATATTATTAAGTAAAATTTCTTATGAATATAGATGATATTCTTATAAAACATCTTTGAATAATGCTTGATAACCAAATATGATCCATGTTTCTTAACTTATGACCAAAAAGCTAGACTACCTATTGAATTGCAATTTACAATATTTGAAGAAATACCAATAAAAATTGAAAAACAAATTAGTGGAACATAAATATATTATATTAATAATTTAAAAAGCTTGAAATTGATTTATTATGAAAAAATGAACTTTAAATTATTTGCAAATTAACATCTAAATATCTGATATTAGCTAATTTAATATCTAGTTCTTATAAAATCATCTTATGTAAAGAAAAATTTATATACAGTACAGTCAACTCTTTCTATAACGAACTAAGATAACATTAGGTTCGTTATATCCAGAGTTCGTTATAAAGAGGTTCGTTATAGAGAGATTCGACTGTACTGTATAATAAATGGGTTCTAAAAAATTGTTCTTGTTCTTGTGTAAAAGTAGCATCGACAATAAATAGCTATTTACAAAATGATAAATGGGGAAACCAAGAATTGGTTGAATAATTGAAATCTATATACCGTAATACCGTATCGATCTAGAATTATTGTGAAATAAATTAGTATCGTAGATTTCTGCGAAAACACGGAAAAAGAACACTTACTCGATAAATGCTTTTCCTCGCATCCGAATCAAAAATCGCCAATATTGAAGGTGTTTCTTGGGTTGATCACAGCCTAATTGTTCGTATAGTTGTAATTGATATCGAAATCCCAGGTTCGGGCTAAAAATACGGTGTTTAATCATTATTCAATAATTTATGTACTACAAAAAATTTAGTAAGTTACCAAACAAAGGACCGCTTTGATATGATTAGAGTAAGTGCTTTGTCGTATTGAATTCTTTGTGCTTTCATTAGATATGCAGTCAACGCTACATCATTTGATGAAAATATATATTAATAATCAAATTCAAAAAGTTATGAACAATTTCTTGGAGGTATATATAATAAAAGAATTCATTACCTGAAGCACTACGTGACACTCCTGCTTGGCTATTGACAATGTAAGATCAAAAATTATTTAAACCTCTCTTATACATATCCGATAAAAAAACTATTCACTCACCAATGAATCAAAACATTGTTTCTTTCATCGGATAACGCTTCCTCGATAAATTGATGACACGAGTCGAAATGTTCGAGAATATTTTCGTTTTGGCGGTCTTTTATTCGTATCACTTTATATGTATATAGCTATCATTCAAATGTCGTCATTTAATTATAAAATATAAAGAAAAATCATATGATATCGATATTACCTGTGGAAAAACTGGCTTTAAATTATGAGCCACTGTAAGAATATGCGTGATATTATGGTCATTCAACCAATCTTTGTCCAGTGCCGCGTGTCGACTGACATTAAATGCATTATTGGTTAGCATGCATGTGCGTTTAAAGGGACTATCAAAACAAAAAGACTATACCTTCCCAAATAAATTCTCGGTATGACCATGCATCCGTATAAATCGTGTAGATAGGTAAGTTGGTTTGGCGCTGTCCCTTCTTCACTCTTTAATTGTTTGACAAGAAGCCAACTGATTGGTCTCTCGAAGCTTATTCGATTCAAATCAAGCTTATCACTTCCTTTGTTGTTTAATAATTTTGAGAAAATATTAGAAAAAGATCCGTTCCGACTAACGTTAATGTTCTTATTGGTGTATGATGAGGTTATGTTGTCATTTGGTTGAATGTCGACGCTGTTTCTCTTTTTATGATTTTTGATGGGTTTTTCTATGCCTACAGTGATGTTTTTTATAGCTGGAGAGTTTGAGGTGTCAAGAATAATATTGTTGGCGGTATTGGTAGTGGTATTATTATTGTTGATGTTTGTTTCAGTCATATCGATATTGGGTTCGCAAAAAATTACTAAAAAATAATCGTGTCTCCGTGTATGGGAGTGTCTTATATAGGTTATTGTAACGACAGACACACGTACACAAAGGAAGCACACGATTTATCGGTCGTTATGACCAAGAATTGCATTTCTAGAATTCTGAAAATACATAACGATAAGGGGCGGGTAGCGGTAGCATACGTATCCGTGGAATTTAAGATCCTGAATTATTCATTGACGTGCATATATCCTATACTGTACTTGCAGTATTGTTTCCATAAATGATTATCAACGCTAGTGAATAGTTTAACGTGAATAGTTTAACGTGAATAGTTTAACGTTAAAAGTTTAATGATTTAAATTTATGATTTATTATATGGTGATATAACAAATGTTTTTGAATTTTTGCTGTAATTATTTTAATTGATAATATTTACGAGAGATTAATTTGATAATAGACAATTATTGTAACGAGAAATTCAAAATCAACGAATTTGCCGTATATTGTCGATTTAACGCCCTAATCTGAAAATAAAAGTTGCAGTAACACCTCTTGAAGTTCCTCTGGTGACCATTCTGAAGAATCATCGAGTACTTGAACCGTCGGTGCAATTGGCATCGACGGGTAAAAAAATCCGCATCCCATAGGCATGAAGGAACTCGAGTTATCGAAAGGTTGACATCCACCATTCGCTTCCTGGAAACTTAGCTCATGATCGGTCACTAGTCTTAGATGGCCGTTATTTGATGGTAGATTCTCGCCTGCTTGATAGAACTCCATCTTTATGTATGGTTCAATTTCACTTTCTGAATTTGAACTCCTGAGTACCTTCTTATTTTGATGACGGATGTCAATTTCATATTCTCCATTCAGGCTTTCTGGCTGAGAATTCATTTCCATATCTTGTTTATTCCAAATTCCACGACGATATTTTATTCCTTTGACGTCTGCATTCTCTCTTTCTAGTCGAGAATCCAATCGATGATACATCATCATACTCTCATCACGCTCCTGTTTTTTATGATAATGAAAAATTGTTCCCCGGTTACGCTTTCTATTGATACCGGTGGTGGTAGTGATATCTGGATCTGAAATCTGTTCACTTCTAAAGTATCTTGGTTTCAGTAACGGCACACGATTAACCTCACTAATGAATTCATCACCGGGATAATTGCTACTCGTATTCCGATTCAGAGCGTACCTTGTTTCTTCATTATGATGATTATGCTGGTCTGGCGTGTAAAAGGCAAAATGATTTTTCCCACGTAGTTGGAGTTTTATTTCACGAACATTCCCCGGCAACGCGACTGACTTGTAAAATAGTTACAAATATTTCTGTTAGATGATTATTATTATTATTAGTATGACGATTGTAAAACAATCAAAAATTTTCGTTTACCAGTTTTCCTTGACCTTGATAAACGAGAGCGCGACCATACTTTTCAAAATACAGTTTGGGTATTTCGCTGAGTATCACACCATCTTTGTGTTCTTTTACTATCTCTTTTACTTGCTCTTGAACAAAAATATCGCCTATTGCATCCGTCATACCGCGCTCTTTGGCTTGTGAGATTGTCAAGAGTGGTGGGTGATTACTATTGATGTCATTTCGCCCACTACCGCTCGACATTGTATGTAAATTTTAATGATGGAATACTATTTAAGACAAGAAAAAATTACGATTAGTAAAAAACCCCCCGAGATAACTTGAATGACAATCACTAGTCGTATTATGATTGTTGTTGTGAATTAAATAGTCATTATTGATTATTTTACCGGTGGAACTTTTAGTTTCGATACGAGGAGAAAGGTGAGGAATGATGATGATGATCATCCAAAAAGAAAAAGTTTATATTTATCATTATCGTTGTTATCTGATCTGGTGGTCGAAGTTAATCTAGACCTTGGTTAGAGCTACGTAAAACCATCATTTGTTAATGCCAGCTATCGATTGAAACCACAATTATATCATACAATCGTCAATTTTGTAAAACTGTTGAATCTATTTCTTTCAAAATCCGCGCGTGTTGATGATGTTATCGTTATGCATAAAAAAGCGAGTAAAATCAGCTATATATTAGCAAAAATCAGCTGTTATCATTAATTTGAATATTCATATTCATATTCATATTTAAACATTATGAATATTAAAATGAATTTATATTCATTTGATAGCTAAAAACAAAATACAGTCATACCTGGGTTATATCGGTTATATCACACTTTTGTTCCTGTGTTTTTTGGATATAAAAAGGAAATCCGTTCCAGCTCAACTATACGACTGCATTCAGAATATATAATTTAATTTGAATATTCTATTTATTTTGAGCTGATATTTATAATACATGTCTGGAATTAACTGTAAAAGAGCTTCTATTTCTACACTGTTCTTTACTTTATTCTGAAACAGCGCAATATTTTCCAATGGTCCAAATCCCCTCCTATTTGTTGTTTCCACGAAACTCGTCGAAGGTCGAATGATGATTTTGTTGCACGCCTTTCGTGGATTGATTCAGCTAAACTGAAAAGATTAAAATCAAGTCATCAAATAATAAAACAACTTTTACTTTTCATTCTTGCATTATTTGTTTTATTATAGAAACTTTCAAAGAATTTACTTTTTTAGCCCAAGGTTCTTCATCGTCTAATCCATTGCTTAAAATGAACTGTTCTTTCACAAGCTTCCATTCTTCTTTTTTATCTAAGCTTTCAATGCCAACGTCAACAGAATTTTTATTTTCACTGCGAGAATTTTTGCTCCATCCATCATCGAATCCCTTGGAATTCGTATTATGAACGCGAAGAGTTTCACCCCATCCACCATCCAACTTATTACATCGGTTCGATTTTTCGAGATCACGCTTTTGGCGCTGTAGTTCAGCGATCCCATTGTGTGCTTCCAAAAGTTGGATCCTTAATCCCACAATTTTCTCGTATTTTAATCGATCTAGGATTTTGGCGGAAACGAGATCTTGTTGAAGTTTATAGATGTTGCGACCGCATGGACAATTTGCTCCTGACATTTTTTTATTTAGCGTAAACAACTAACGCTAAATGGAAATAATGTAAACAGATGAACACGGCAAAGCTTAGCTTTTTTTAGGTATCCTAACGCTAATAATCTATCAAACTTGTTAATGACGGTTTAATGATGTGTGTTACATATTGTTAAATATTGATGATTTAATAGTTTCTGTTAAGAACGATAACAATAACGGAACATTCATCAAAGTATATTTTTCTAAAATTGACGACTGAAATTGAAACTGTTTTATCATTATTCTGGCGATTATAAAAACCATTACGTTAACATTACATCATCGGGGCAGCGCTTTAAATAGAATTCTAACGTAAATTTCATAGTAACCGATGTCATATTAAGGGATATTTCCCCCGAAATTTTATTCGACAATTTCCTATTAAATCCGGAAATCGGCCAGATTTCCCGTTATGTTTCATTTCGGTTTCGCTTGTAATATAAAAATGATTTTTTTAAATTGAATATTTACATGTATGTCGTTTAAGCCAACCAAAGCAAATTGTGCGTATATAGGCACACTATGAGTATATATTAATGCACGAAATGGCTTTTTCGAAACACATGCAGAAAGAAAATCTGCTATTTTTAGATATGATCTCTTAGAGATAATCAGTATATAGCGATAGCAATAGTAATACGTAAATATACACGATAAAGTAATCCCCATTACCAACTACTAATAGATATTGATATTCACCACGTGTGTCATTGGTATGCCATCGGGTTATCCGGACCCTGAATATCGTAATCGGCATAAGATTCAACCGACATTTGGTGAGAAAGAAATTTCCGATTCGCCCAGTTTCCCTTGGCTTCTTGGATATTCAGACTTGGGTCTTGACTAGACAAGAATAACAAATGGAATATGAAACAAAAAAAAAGAAAATTCATTTAACAGAGCTATGATCAGGTTTGTTTGTCCGACTGCGCTGTCAAAAGCAATGAAAATAAATAGGGGCGAAGCATGTTTGTGGAAAAAGAACAATAACCGTAGTTGTCATTTTAAGGAATTTCAAAAAATTAGATCTCGGTTGAATGATAAGCCGTTGATCATTGTGTCATTAATATAATCAATAATATATGCAATGTAGCGCAGCAAAACATTATTATTATGTTCGGGATAATCTACTCCGAAATTAGACTATGAAAAAGAAAAGCAAGGAATGTGAAATTGTGAGGATCTCACACTGCGTAGTTTATAAATATGGACCATACAGGCGTTATTTTATTTTTTTTAAAAGTGATATAATAGAACGCTTAATTGTTTGCACTCTAATCTGCTCGAACGAACTGCCTTTATTTAATAACACGTCAAGCATCTACTAATTAATCAATACATGTATATTTAGCGACACGCGAATGATATTTTAGTCACACAGTTACATCAGTTACAAAACTTTTTGATTTATAATTGGAGACATTAAAGCACCGATAATAACATCGAACACTTAGCT